AGGCGTCGATGCCCAGATTGCATCTGGTGGAGGTCGTATGTATGTTACAATGGACCGATATGAGGTAGATATTTCAGTTTTTTTTAGGTAAACTTTTTATTAGGTAATTTTGAGAATCTCAAAGTTTGCAGTTTTACCTTTTTTTGTGTGTAATTTGGTGAAACCTCGAATGCTATTTTTTTGTACATATAACATTTCTCATCTTATCTTATATTTATAATTACAGAATGACTGGGAGGTCGTGAAACGAGGATGGGATGCCCAAGTGCTAGGAGAAGCACCACACAAGTTCAAGAGTGCAGTTGAAGCTGTCAAAAAGCTGAGAGAAATTCCAAACACGAATGACCAATATTTACCCCCTTTTGTTATCGTCGATGATAGCGGGAAATCCGTGGGGCCTATTGTTGATGGGGATGCCGTTGTAACTTTCAACTATCGGGCCGATCGTATGGTTATGATTGCCAAGTCGCTCGAGTACGAGGACTTTGATAAATTTGACCGAGTTCGAGTTCCTAAAATACGATATGCCGGGATGCTTCAGTATGATGGCGAACTTAAACTTCCTAGCAACTATCTTGTTTCACCTCCCGAAATCGAGAGAACCTCTGGAGAATATTTGGTAAATAATGGTATCCGCACTTTTGCCTGTAGGTGAGTTGTTGCTAAACTAAAATCAGGAATATCAGTGATACCAATTTCCAACTATGTTAATGAATTTGAAATTGAAATTGTGTTGCTATTCTCAACTATGTTGTATATTATTCATTACCACCTACTTTATAGCTTATTGTTACTAATTTCTGTTACCGACAAACTTTTTCTATCATAAGGACTTGCTTTGTTTTTTTTACCTTGTGCTCACTTTAGATACTTTCATTTTGTTCATAGTGAAACGGTTAAATTTGGTCATGTCACGTTTTTCTGGAATGGAAACCGCTCGGGATACTTTAATTCAGAAATGGAAGAATATGTGGAGATTCCAAGTGATAGTGGCATTACGTTCAATGTCCAGCCAAAAATGAAAGCACTGCAGATTGCTGAGAAGGCAAGAGATGCCATACTTAGCAGAAAATTCGACCAGGTAAACGAAATTATATTCTTATACTTATTGTGATTGTTAAAGGAAGATTTTCTATACCTTTCCATTTTGCTATTATTGTGTACAGGTGCGTGTTAACCTCCCCAATGGTGACATGGTGGGACACACTGGAGACATCGAAGCAACAGTTGTGGCTTGCAAGGCTGCTGATGAGGCTGTTAAGGTAATATGCTGATTTTGAAGCTATAACATTCTCACCTATGCATGAAATTTATTTAACTCTGTGAAAAATGATTTATTTAACAACTCTAATACTCTATGGATTAAGTTCATTGTTGCAAATACTACTCCTTAGGTTGTGGGTGTTCATGTAAATACTGTAGAGGTTTTAAAGTTAAGAAACAAAATCTGAGGTCTGTTCAATCTTAATTTCTAAAAATGCAAGGGGACAGGTGAGCAATGTTTTTTGTAATTAGTCCATAACCTAGGAAGCAGTTTGAGTCATTATCCTTAAACTTTGTCAAATATGCCCAGAATATAGGAAGTAGTTTGTTGCAGGATTATCCTTTTAACTTGCTGAATCTGTAAATAATGGTAAATTTCATGCTAGTCTGTAACTTTGTCAAATGCATTGTTTTCCTTCATCCTTGCATTAAGTTTATGTAAATGTGTTGCCGTAGCACAAAAGGTTAATTTTGAACAGCAAAATACTAGTATTCATTCTTGTACTGTATGATTATTCATCGGGGCTAGAAATCCTGAACTGGTCTCTCTCTCTCTCTCTCTCTCTCTGTTTTTCCCTTTTTCTGTTCCATTGAAACTTGACGAGGATACGGTCTTGAAAAATGATAGGCACCAATACTAGTTACTGCTAGTGAGATGTTATAATAGTAGCTGTATTCATTATTTGTAGATGATACTTGATGCAATCGAGCAAGTTGGCGGGATATACGTTGTCACGGCTGACCATGGAAATGCAGAGGATATGGTGAAAAGGAACAAGAAAGGCGAGCCACTCCTTGACAAGAGTGGCAAAATACAAATTCTTACTTCTCACACACTCGAGCCCGTAAGTAATTCAATCATGTGTTGTGTTTGGCCTATAACCGTACAAGCGTTACTAGTAAAATAAGCTTTTTCTAAAAATGGTTACGATTAAGTTTATTCCCACATCAAAATATCACATGTTTAGGTTTTTTACTGAAATCTTTTGTTTGAACTCTTCTGTTAGGTTCCTATTGCAATCGGTGGTCCCGGACTGGCGCCCGGCGTGAGATTCAGGACGGATGTTCCTAATGGTGGGCTGGCCAATGTGGCTGCAACCATCATGAACTTGCACGGCTTTGAGGCACCTACCGATTATGAGCCGACCCTTATTGAGGTTGTTGGCAATTAGGTCATCGGAATTTCATTTTCCATTTTTTTTCCAGACTTTCTTCTTTCATTCTCCTCTTTTGGTGTTCGTAGAAAGCGTGGGATTACACTAGCTCCATTCTTTTGAATAAAAATACTGAACTTTTCCTTGATATTATTATTATTATCATTCTTTGATTGTTAACTTGAGCAGCACTGCATTTCATTGCATTCTACGGCGCCTGAAGACAAATTAATGAGTTTGAAATACAATTATTGAACTGTGAGATTCTGTTTTTATCTATTTGCATGAGTTTGAAATCTGTCTTTATTGTACAGCATGGTCAAAATATTATATAAGTACAATTTTTCTTTTTAAAAAAATGCAAATCACAGTAATACTAAGGAGTCAACTGTTGGCTCCGTTACGGAGCCCACAGCCAATGGGACAGCTCCATGTGGGATTATCCCACATGGCTCCAATGTGGGACAGCCCCACATGGAGCTGTCCCATTGATTGTTGGCTCCTTATCATTATTGATGCAAATCATATTTTAAAGTATCATGCTTATAAAATAGATAAATATTTATTTATATGATTAATTGAAAGCATAAATTATTATTTATTGAACAAATGATTGTGTAATGACCCACACAAATACTACTGCTTGCTCTTATGACACACCACGGACATACTCTAACTCATCATCAAACAACTTTGACAAAATTAATCTCTACAAAGATAGCCTGCCATTTATTGGCGACAAAAACAGAAATGTACACTCACGAGTAACGAGTGAGCAACCCCACAATACTACTACATATATAATATAATAGAAATAACCAACAAAAATAACAAACAGAAGTATGCTATGCAATGAGAATTAGTTAAAAGAATAGCGTCCACGGCACCACCTTATTAAGAAAAATAACATCGGGCCGCTTTGATACAAGTCCAGCAACTGGACACTTCATTCATCTACTAAAACTAGTGTTACCAACTACAAAAGGATACAAATACATAAGAAGCATCACAAAGTAAGATTAGATTTCTTCTCTAACTGCCCAACATCTCAGCATCTACTTTCCTTGTTCCCCTTCAATTTCCAAACGAAGAGAGCTCACATTTGCCATACTCTACAACAAAATCAAAAGACTTAGTTAGAAGAAGAAGAAGAAGAAGAAGAAGAACAAACCGAAACAAAACGAATCTAACCGTATCTCATGAATATTTATGTAATTATATGTATCTGTGTATGAAATGACTCATAAATGAGTCCAATACATGCCATAAACTAGGTGTCAAACAAAATCTTTTCCCTGACATTCACCATTATTATATTTCGACTGATTAACATCACCTCTCATCGAACATGATAGCCACTCCATCTCATCCCCACACAAGACAATTCTTGTTATTTCAACTGATTAAACATTACCTCATCTAGCTTCCCCTATGCCAACCTTAAGTTCATCCTAGATTCGTTTCCTTATTAAGTGTGATATTCGAGCTTAACAAATACATAATAGCATTCAAATAGCACCACCAAGTTTCATGTTTCATACTCCTACCCCCAATTGCACCCGTGGAGTTTCCACACTTTTCAACACATCACAGACTCATATTTCATGCAAATTTCAATTCCAAGTTCGAAAATCGACCAAAAAAATCAAAATCACAAAAATGACACGACACCACCACAAAATGTACGCATTTAAAAGACAAGAATTAAATATATAGATACTCACTAGGCTGCTGCGAGACGACAAATGCAGCCCCACCGAAGTAACAGGTGCCCCCAGCACGCCCCTTCTTCTGATAATAGCTATTGAACGCGTACGAAGCATGCGCCTCAAGCGTGTTGGGATCAAAGCACGCAGATCCCGGCTGGATCATGTGGCAGTCGGCCCCTCCTTCCCCACACGCATAGTCAAGGGCCGCCTGCAACTTCTCCGGGCCCACATCCCCTTTTGCCACACACCACGTCTGCCCACTCCCCGCCGCCACCCTCTTCTCGGAACCACCGCTCTTCACCGGGGAGCTCGACTCATCCTTACTATTATACCCCTTGGTTGTGAACGGGATATCGTACACTTTCCTCCCGTCCGGGTAGAACAGCCCGAAGTTCCTCTCCGATGTGGGCCCCGGTTTCTTGTTTTCGTTGAACAGCGCAAAGAGGAACACCGTAAGGTTCGCGTGGGGGCGGAGAGGCGTTCCCCCGCCGGCGAGCACGCGGTTGACCAGGTTCTTATTGTAGTCGGCTGCATTCTCAACCGTGGCCCCGATTTCGTGCTGGTCACCCATCGATGGCCAGCCTGTCTCGCTGACCGTGATTGGAATGTCGTCGTACCCGAGCGCTGACATGGCAGCAAAAACGGCGTCCACCTGTGCGTCGAACAGGGAAAAGTATTTCAACCCGTTGCCACCGTCAATAGAGCCAGAGTTTGGCCGGAAGAGGGCGTAGTCGAGCAAGATGACGTCAGCGTTGGACTCGTAAGCGAAGAACGGGTAGACATTGATCATGAGGGGTGCCTCGGTTCTACGGAGGTAGTCGAGCATGGGCTTGAAAACCGAGCTAACCAGCTCAGCACGGAAGGAGCCTGAGGATGAAGGGTAGGAGCTCCGGAGGGCGCTGAGGGCGACGGGGGAGGAGACCTTGATATGGGTGTCGAGGTTGTACCTCGATAGGGCTTTCTGGATGTTGTACATTGCCGGGAGGAGGAAGCGGGTGGTGTTGTGCGGGTCCACAAAGACCTCGTTGCCGACAGCGACGGCCTCAATGGAGGTGGACGGGTGGTAGGCCGCGATGTTTTTCTGGACCCATGAGAGGGCGAAGGAGGGGCGTCGAGCGGCGGAGGAGAGGAGCTCGTTAGGGAGGTTTACGGTGACCTTGATGCCGGAGCCGGAAAGGGCACGGAGGACGGCCGGGTCGGTGTCGTAGACCTTGACCCGGTCCAGTCCTTGGGATTTAAGGAGTTGCACAACCTTGGATGCGGAGGGGAGGTTGTTGGCCACACGGCCGTAGTTTACGCCGATAAAACCGGCACCATCTGCGGTGGCATTTTAGAGAATACACATTAATTGTGAATCTGGAATTTTGAAGCTCAAATGTAGTAGTCAACACTTGGAGCAAGAAAAGAAGATGATGAAATCAACAGCTTTTTACAGAAAATTCGTATTTGTTGAAGAACAATGCCGAATGATTTGAAGCTAGAAAATCGAAAAGAAAAAAAGAAATCTAGAGACAGCTGCTGCTGCTGCTGCTGCAACATAAATAACAAAATTGCAATGCGCGAGAATTCATTTTGTTTTATTATTACCTGCAATGTAGGAGATGAAGAGTGAGAAGATGAAAAATGTAAAGAGCTCCATTGTTCTGCAACCAACCAGCAGCGCCATTGTGTTGTGTTCTCTTCTTCTTCTTCTTT